TATATATATATATATATATATATAATTCGTGACTTTCGATGATAACTTTCTGATAAATCCTATAGTTCATGTATACGATTTGAAAATAATCTTAAAAAATTAATATAAGTTGTTTTAGTCGTACTAAATACCAAAATTATATTCATCTAACAATCCATAATTTATAATATATACCTAAAAAAACTATAATTTATAACATTCTTTAAAAAAAACTAATATTGTACAAAACTGATGATATTAAAATTGTTTTTGCAGCAATTGATTTAAAAATCCTACAATTTTCTTCTGAAATCATGCTCTGAAAGTTGTGTTTGACTGGAGAGCATCAGCAGTTTTATATTGGAAATTTTTCATCTCTGTATTCTCTACTATCAGGTGCATCTCCTATTTTATATGTTCTCTACATTTATAAAATTATGAATTTATATTTCCAATGCCATAAAATATGGTAGATCCGATTAATTCTACCTTTTCGATGCATGTTTGATGCATAATAAATTGGCGGGAAAAATCCACTGACATAATAACAAGTTGCCCATTTTCTTAAGATTTGTAGTAAATTCACCAATCTCTTTAAAGATATATTATGTAACTTTTCTCTTAACTTTCAACAAGTATTCTCACAAACATAAAGTTAATCTATAGATTAAGAGTAGTGATTATGCAAAGCATCTCCTAAGCTTATAAAAAAAATGCAAAGCATCTCCTAAAATAAGAATTTTATTATTTAAATTAAATTAAAATTATACAGAATAATGAAATATTTTCTTGTTTAATAGTTCCAATAATTATTTAAAAAATAAATAAAAATATACAGAATTATTATTTTATTATATTTTACATTCTAGGAAAACTAAATTAATAAATCATAATAGAAGTATCTACGTCCATTTGGAAGAACCTGGAATTTCAACCGAGGCTTGGTATACTTTGACAACCCATAGACTTTTTTATTAGCGAAACAATAATTTAATTAAAAAATGTAACAAATTTATCACTTTTAATTTATTCTATATTTTATTAAAACAATACTAAATAGTTTGAGTACTGATTCTGATTAAAATCACAAATAGTTTGAGATTATATTATATTTTTTTTATTTTATATTTTTAAGGTGAAAATTTTTTTATAAAACAAAACATGATAATTAAACTCTTTTAAAAAATATGTTTAAATAAATATCTTCAGAAGTATTTATAGAAAGAAAATATAAAATAATTTTTTTATAAATTAAAACTAGAAGAAATATTACTAATAGTGATATATAAAAAGTGTCATTATAGGTACAATATATATAAATACATATCTATTTGACATATAATTACACATAATTTTAGTGTTGATTTTAAATGAGATTTAATAACATATTTTGTATATCACTATGATCTATACCCACAACTTTTAACAATATTTCAATATATATTATATTTATTGTGTAAATAAAAGTAATTTTTAATAACATGTATAATATCATTGTAGGGTTTGTATCACTGTATGATAATTTTCTTGTAATGTAATTTATAAAAGTTCTTAAATATAACTTTTTTAAAAAAATTATAAATTTATATATAAACTAATTTTTATTACGATGAAACTTTTGTTTTTCTTTATGAATATTTATGAAGAAATTTATGCAGAAAAGAATTTTCTCATTTTTTTTAGCAGTGCTATTTACACTACTCCCCCTTACATAATTTACTATCCTGCTCAACAGTATTATCTTATACGTGTAAACGTCCACTGAATTACTTGAATGATTAAATATTAAATTTAAATAAGTAGGAATATAAAAGGTGGAAGTAAGTAACACTATTTTTGTTTTCTTGTCAGTGAGTAAGTAACAGTACTATTGTAATGTATTGTATTGGTTTTGGTGCAGTTGCAGTGAGAGTGAAAAGAGATTTGGGGAGCGCACGCACCTGACAGCAACATGTCAAAATGAGAGACTCAAGTTTTCACATTGTTTTCACGCAAACGTTAACATGTCCCAATTTTGGCATGACATGTGAAAACGACAAATCCGAGGCTCCCCACACTCAAATCGCGCGCAGGCTTGGTGTCCAAGGCCACAGTCATAGCCTCCATAAATATTAGACCTTGGTTTCATATCCCTCACTCTCTCCCCACAGCTGTGTCCATAACAAAAGGATAAAAATGACTCTAAAGCTTTATGGCCTTCCCATGTCCACAAACACCACCCGTGTCATGATCTGTCTCCATGAGAAAGAGGTCGATTTTGAGCTTGTTCCGGTTAATGTCTTCTCTGCTGAGCATAAGCAGCCTCCTTTTCTCTCCAAGAACGTAAGCTAGCACTGCTATTGTTCTTGTGTTTTTCTTTTGTTAATACTTTACACACCAACTTTTCTTGTGTTGGACATGCAGCCCTTTGGTTTGATTCCAGTACTTGAAGATGGTGATCTCACTCTTTTTGGTATGCTTTCATTATTTTCTTTTTCAGCTCGTATACTATATATTTTTGATATCCTTTTATGTTGAGAAATGAGAACCCTTTTATTCAGAAAAACATATAATCTAAATGCAAATGCATGCCCCCATATAGTGCTGTTATTCCATACTTGAGCCAATTGATCTAAAATGACAGAGTCGAGAGCCATTACCGCATATGTAGCTGAAAAGTTGAAGGAAACAGGAGCTGATCTGATTAGGCACAAGGACGCAAAAGAAGGTGCGTTGGTGAAGGTGTGGACAGAGGTAGAGTCTCATTACTACGACCCAGCGGTGTCACCCATTATCTACGAGTACTTCGTGGCCCCTTTTGAAGGCAAAGAACCCGACAAGTCAGTGATTGACACCAACGTTGAGAAGCTGAAGCAGGTTCTTGATGTGTACGAGGCCAAGCTTAGCAGCACCAAGTACCTTGCTGGGGACTTCTATAGCCTCGCTGATCTTAACCACGTCTCTGCAACTCACTATTTCATGCAAACCCCATGTGCTTCATTCATCAATGAGCGTCCCCATGTAAAGGCTTGGTGGGAGGATATCTCTTCCAGGCCTGCTTTCAGTAAGGTTGTGGGAGGAATGACTTTTGGTCAGAATCAGAAATGAGATCGAGTGTTAATTTTCTCAGCTTTAGTTACTGCTTAATTTGTTCCACTTTCTTGTATGTCTACCAAATATAGTCGTAGTGTATTGAGTGTTCTTCAACTTGTTTCATTTCAAATCACTATAATTAGGAAAACGAATCAGCTTTTAGAGTGTCTTTAAGAAGGGTTTGAACTTCCTTTTACCATATTTGGTTAATTTTATTAAATTATGTTGTGCTGGTTTGTTAACATGTTTTGATTACATATTTAAATTAAAGCAATTTAGTTGTATTAAATAAATCATAAAGAATAATAGATGAAAATGAAGAAAATAGATGTTAAAGATATTTTAAGAATGGATCTTACTAAATTAGTGCTCTAAGGGTATTGATAAAGAAATTAATATGTAGAAATTTTTTATTAAAAATTACAATAAAGTTATATGGAATACTGATGTCAAAAAAAGTTATACAGGATAATGAAGATAGAAGGTGAAAAATAGAGTTTAAAGAATGATGAAGATAAAAGTTCAAAAATAACATTTGAAAAATAATGAAAACGAGGTGAGTCTTTTGATTACTGAAGAGAAGAACAGCTGAAACAAAAAAAAAAAGGAATCAATAGTGGTTAGAGAGAGATAAAGTTACTTAGATTAAGGAAGAGGGGTGAGTAGAGAAGAATTTTTTGAAAAAAAATATGATACATAAGAAAAGAGAATAAATTATAGGTGTATTAAGGAAAAAAAATTGAGAGAGAGATAGAGAGAGATTTGTATTTATTAATATGAAATGTAAATATTATTTATCTAGTTAAAATTAATATCCTGTTTGGAGGTGTCAAATCAAGTAAAAGATTTAGGATTTAAGTTTTGAAATGAGTTATAAGTTGTTTTATTCCAATATTATCTTCGAAAAGGAGGGGTGTAATGAATTAATCTAGTTATAAGATAAGATATACGATGATAAAATAAATTAATCTAATCCGTTTAGGTTCATCTCGTTATTGGCTCGTCAAAAAGGGGTTAGGTCGAGTTGAATTAAGGTTTTTTTGGCTTGAATAAATAAAATTTTAAAAATATTTTTATAAATAAATTATTTAAAAAATAATTTATAGAAACAAATTATTTTAGCTACGTGGACATTTATAAGCAAAATGTTAATTTACAAGAAAAATGTTAGTATAATTGACGTTTTTAATTTAAGGAAAATTTGTTCAAAAAACATTAATACTATTAACGTTTTTTAGTTGTACTAAAAAATTGTATTGAAAACGTCAAGATTCTTAACGTTTTCTGCATTGATGACCTATACATTTTCTGTCTTGCCGATTGAGCTACAGGATGCCTGTTATTACGTGTGTTTCCTGTTGCAAGCTTATTCCTTTTTTATGCATGAATTTTGTGAATAATTTTTGTGTGCAAATTTATTATGTATGAATTTTGTTAGTTTATGTTGAACTAGATAATCAATTGGATGTTTCCCTCTATCAAGTTTAGGTTCCAATTATGCTATTATCACATTCACATCACCTTTTCTTTTTTTCTTTTTTGTTTACTTTGTGGGTTAATTGATTTATTTATCTCTTATGTTTTTTTTATTTCATATTCTTTTAAGCATTCAGGTTTAGTAATTTTTTATTTCATAATTTTAGATGCATAGTTTTAACGTCAGGAATCTTGACGTTTTCAATATAATTTTTTGTTACAACGGAAAGCATTAATAGTATTGATATTTTTTAAACAAATTTTTCTTCAACTGAAAACATTAATTATATTAACGTTTTTCTTGTAAAATAAAATCGTCACTTCTTTTAACATTTTGCTTGTAAATGATCTAAAATAATTTATTTCGATAATTTTTTTAAACAATTTATATATAAAAATATTTTTTAAAAAATTATTTATTCATGTCAAAAGGCCTTGAATTAGGCTCGCTCACCAAGTAAAAATGATTTGGATGTCTTATCCCATTCTGTCTAACGATGGATTGACGAGTCGATTTGCTAGTCTGTTAAAAAAAATTAAAAAAGAAAAAAATTAATATCTTTTAGATATTTCTTTTAACATATGTTTTTCTTAATATTTAAAAAATCTATATAAATTAATGTATCTAAATAATAAAATAAAATTTAAATTATAACAAATTTAATTTAATTTGTAACGCAATAAATATCAAATTTGCTGTATAAATAAATACGTAATTATAATAATAATAATACTTCTAATAAATTTGCTGCACAAAAAGTCAAGTTAAGGATAATAACATAAATCAAATGCAAGTGTCAAAAAAATAAATAACATAACATATTTGAAGCACAATAAATTACTCAACATCAAAAAATAAAATAATTAAAAAAAAATAGTTGGATAGGTATGTCCATCCTTTCTAACCCATCATTTGACCCAACAAACTGGTTATAGACATGACGGTTAGGTAAGTTAAAATATCCGATCAAACTTACCAATTTTTTTATGAACCTTACCCATTTTATCACCCTGTTGAAATGTGCAACAATAACTTGTTCAATAATGAATAATTAGCATAGTGACTCATCAAATAAATAAATAAAAGAGAATATAAAATACTAAAAAATGTAAATAATAAATTTACACATATTTTACTAGTGTTATAAAGGCCATTTCAAATTCTAATAGAATGGAATGCTTTATAAAACCTGCTAAGTGCTAACGTTGTTATTTCAAATTACAATTAAATTTAGAATTAATCATCTATACATGGTTAATGTAAAGTTTTTTACACCGATAATCAATTATATCTTTTAAATTATTTTATTTTAATTTTATTTCATTAAATAAACAAATAACATAGCATTATTAGAATATATAATAGTGTATAGGTAATTAACTCTTAAACTTATCAATACCATCTTTATTTATTTTTTCAAAAATAAATTTGAATGTTTTATATTTTCAAAAAGTAATGTAAGAAACCCCAAGCATGTGGTTTAGCGATAGGGGTTGATCCACGCTTAAGCAAGGTCAGGGGTTCGAATCCTGCCTTGTGTATGCAGCCGCGTTAAATCTTGGGGCCAGCTATCCCACCCTTTGAGGTGCCTCCAGCGTAGCGAGAAGATTAGTCACTGCTGTCGACGGTGGATACTCCAGCAACGAAACTGAAAAAAAAAAAAGTAATGTAAGAGCGATACGCATATGACATTTCTCGAAATTTCATGTAAGTAATACTAATAATGTCTATAATTTTAGAAGATATTATATATAAGGCATTAGAAGACCTTTTGTCTACAAAGTTCTAACTTACAGTCATGAAGAAGAATGGTGGAGTTGTTGTAGTAACGACGGTAAAGAAAATTTGAAAAATAATGGCAATAAGTCATCAGCAAACAACACAACGACACAAATGCATTTTATAAATTAAAAATATTATAAATTGAAAACATGAAATGAACCTAATAATTAAACAGTAAATATCCAAATCATGTATGTACTTGCAATAATATTATAAACATGTTTTTTCTACCACATTTTATTATTCCATAAAATTTATGCTAGTCTTACCATATAATACTAAATAAAAGTCGTCATAAGAATAAAGCCCACATTATTTGATATAATACACATCATTTTCATTCTAAAATGAAAAATATATTAAAATTGATGTGTATAAAAGTATTTTATTAATAAATTTTTAATGAGTCTTGCTGATCAATGTCTTAAAGAAACTGATTAAAAAATTAATATGTCTGAAAGTTTTTACTGAATTCTACTTCAAAACTGTACTTAATCTTCTGAATTTGAATTGTGCTGGATCAACATTTGACCTGCGTTGCCCTATAAATCAATTATGAATTGGAGGGTGAGTTTGTGACGTTATGCTTCATAGTCATATCTCATTGACCTAGGTGTTCAAAGGCATGTCATTCATTTATATGAATTGTGACGAGCTTGCAACCTCAATGTTATCGACTTATTAGTGATGGTGGCAGAATTAACGATGTATTTTTTTTTGGTGTTGCTTTTTTTTTTTTTTTGTGTTGAATTAACGATGTATTTAATTTTGAAAAAGAAATAATGAAATAAAAAAAGGAGGTAAGAATGGTTAAAAAATCCTATATTCTTAAGTATTTATGGATAAAATTTATCATGAATAATAAATAAATAAAATAATAGATATTCGTGAATAAAAAATATAAATATTTTTTTACTTATTTATAAATGAGAAATATGATAATACTCATTGTTCTTACCGGAATTTGACTGTAGGGGTGATCCGTCCAGTAAGATCAGCGAGCCTCCTCTGCTTGATGTATTGGTGCTCCAAGATGAGGGAGGTACCTGCAAAAGAGACTCTGATGCTAAAGTTAGGGTTTGCATGAATAATAGTCTCATATATATAATGTACGTACCTTAAGGTGGTTTAGGTTTGCCTTGGGCCTTGGGCCTGAGATAAGATATGTTATAGTATAATATATTGCAATATGATATGATATAGTTGAAGGGCGGATCTGGTCTGGGGCGAGATCCTCGGGTTCGGGTGTGATTTGCTCAAATACCGGGCTGACGTCGCGCAGCGCGTGCCCGGGGTTGTTTTGTATTGCTAATTCGGGCTCGGAGCCCGGGTGCGAAGTACGGTTAGTACACTAGCCCCCGAGCTCTGAAGGCCGTAGGCCGAGGAGCTAAGACCGGGCTCGCTAAAGGGGAGTGGCTTTTGCGCATACACTAATTGAAGGTCTGCCACGTGTCTCAACTGTTTGTGTCCTGGAGACGTTTGAGTGACGCATTA